GTGGATTCCGACTTATCATTATATGATCCAACTTTCTGATGTGGGTTTACTTCTGTTTCATTAGAAAGAGAATTATTTTTACTTTAATATATTTAATGTAAAAAAAATAACAATAAAGAAAAAAAATTATACTTATCCAACAAGAATTAAAAATTTACCATCTAAGCATTTATACTTAATCTATAAATTTAATAGTACTAGTTTAAAAAAATTAGTACTGCTAACAAAAGAAAAAAAAAAAAATAGTTAGAAAAAAATTAGCACAATTCACCCAAGAATTCAGCACAATCCACTTAAGAATTTAGCATCTATCTATCTACTAAAAATAATAAAGCTATTTAAGAAAGAATTTAGCACCCACTATCTGAAAGAATTTAGCACCCACTATTCAAAAGAATTTAGCACCTACCAACCAAAGAAATAAACCTATATAAGAATTTGATATCTACCTATTACTAAATAATAATAAACCTGCCCAAGAAAGAATTTAGTATATATTTATCAAAAAATAAACCTAACAAAATTCAGAATATACTTATCTAATAGTAATAAATCCACACTATACTTACTAACCTATAAAAAAAATAAATAAGCCAACCAAAAAAATATAAAATAAAAAAAGCAATAGAATTAATAACAAACCAAAATTTTAAAATTTATTAAGAAGAAATGATTATAGTACTTCAAGCTAGGTTAGTTGTTATACAAAATTAACATATCGATATATTTTTTAAATTCTTACCTTAACTTTTTAGAGCAGTTTCTTGATTTTTTTACATACAGTTTTTTTTTAGTGATAATATTTTATTAAAATATTCTAAAAATGAATACAGTTATTGGTAATAAGATACCTAAAATTCGAAGTCGTGTACAAAAAACTTCACACAAAGTATCTGAGAAACTTGCCATAATTTGTGAAGCAAAGAAGATTAGTGTTTTAGCTATATCATATCACTTTGGTTTTGACTTATCAATGGTTTCATGATGGATATCTAATAAAAAAAAACTTAAAAATATTAACTTAAGTAATAGATGTGTTGGTGCTAGAAGAGCTTTGTTTTTTCTGGCTACTGAAGAAGAACTTATTAAGTGGTTAAATAAACTTTGTTTAGCTGGAATTGCTGTAATTGAAGGTTCTATTAAAATATACATGATTAATATTTTTTCAACAACTTGTGCAACTAAATATCCAAATACAGTTGAACAATTTGGTGTTTCCAAATCTTGGTTTTATAGATTTTTAAAAAGATATCAACTTTCTTTTCACTGTTGTACTAAGATTAGCCAAAATTACTAGATGATCTTATTAATAAAGTTATTGAATTTCATAAATTTGTAATTTAATCTCAATTAAAATACTAGTATGATCTTTTTCAAATTATTAATTTGGATGAAATATTTGTATTTTTTGAAATAGCAAGCACTTATACAATTAATACAAAGGGTACTAAAACTATACAAATAAGGTCAACTGGTAATGATAAAAACTGGTTTACATGTATTTTAGTAATTACTGCAAGTGGTAATAAGTACTCCCAATAGTTATCTTTAAAAGTGTACAAACCCCTTCTGATTTATCTGGAATTATTGTATGTATAAATGAAAAGAGTTGGATGAATGAAAATTTAATATGTGAATAGATTGATCAAGTTTGGAACAAACGAATTAAAACATCAATTACAAAAAAGCCATTGTCTTTGCTTATAATGAACTTATTTGAAGGATATTTAACATTATTAGTATAAAAAAAATATCAAATGAATAATATTCATAAAGCTATTATTCTGAAAAAGTTAATATTGATTGTACAACTATTAGATATATTAACAAACTATTTAAGGATAGGTTAAGAGAAAAATAGTGATTATAGATATATAATAGTCAATTTCAATTAACTAAACAGGAAAATTTAAAAAAAAACTATCATATTGTTTAATTTGTTAATAGATTTTAGAGATATAGGCTGATATTCCTGTAGAATAGTTACTAGATCATTTAAAAAATGTGGTATTTCTAATGAATTAGATGGTACTGAAGATGATTTGTTATATGATTCAGATAAAAAAAATGATAATAGTGAAGATTTATTAGAAATAGTCGATAAAGATAGTTTTTTTGCAGAAGAATTAGATTTAGAAGATTAGATTTAAAAATTAATATTAGCTTTTTAATTAATAAACTTGAATTAACAATTAATAAAATTTATTATCTTTTACTTTGGTAATTTTTTAAAAAAAGGTGCTTACAGTATTTTATTTTGTTTAATAAATATATTTTAAAATGTAAGAAATTGCTTATTTTTAGAGGTTGCTTATTTTATTTTTTTAATAAATCTATTGTAAAATATAAGGAGTTGCTTATTTTTAGGGTTACTTATTTTTGGACATATACGATATTTATTTTGATAGCCATGAGTATAAAAATGTAATAATTGAGAAAAATTATTTTTTTAACAAAATAGCTATATTATACCTCTAAATAGCTATTTATGATAGTAAAAATCTTGAGCAAGTCATTTTACTAATACTTTTATCAGATATTCTAAAAATAGTTCTGATCAACTATAATGAATTAGTATTCTATATCAATAACGGTTTACTAAAATCTAGAGTTCATTAGGAGAAGGTAAACTTTGTCAAAAATCACAAGATCTTAATATTTATACTAGCAACTTTGTCTATAAGTTTATTGGCTATCTTTGATTTTTAGAAGAACAGCAAGCTTTAAATATATCATTTTCTAGTAGTATATATCTAAAATATACAGAATTTTGTATAATAATATATCTAGATTTAAATTGTGATAGCTGGTAAACAAATATTAATATTATTAAACAAGTTAAAGAATATGCTATTTCTATATTTTGAGCAAATCTATTTTAAAAAGTTGCACTATTTATATTTGATAATAGTAGCAAAAAAAATTATAGACATCTCTGGCTAGAGATACTTAGCTTATACATATCTGGTCAAAACAATATCTGGGTAAATAATTTTAATCAAGTTAAAGTTTGGATTAAAGTTTGGGTTAAAGTTATAGCAAAGAAACATATTATAAATAAAATTGTTTTCTCAACATTTTTACTTAGTACTTTAACATAGATTTAGATGGCTATTTTTTGTATTTTTTACTTTTTTTATTTTTTCATATTTTTTGTTGTTTTGCTTCATCAGACTGATCTGAAAAAATTGTATTTTATATAACTATACAAAAATATATATCATGTGATATATTTGTATTTCAATTAGCTATCAGGTCAGAAATATATAAACTAGATATCTCTAGCCAGATATGTCTAAAAGCACCCTAGTAGTAATTATAAAAAAATTTGCTAATAATATATTATTGTTTTACAAATAGGTATGAATAATAATACTAAAAAAAACTTCTTTTTATAATAATATTAAGCCTAATAGATCTTGATATATTATAATATATGTTGATACTAATGGTATAATAAAGTCTAAAGAAATTAAATAAGTTCTTGATAAAAGTAAATCTTTGAATATTTGGCCAAGTAAAATAATGTATTAAGTGTAAATAAAATAAATCTGATTTAAAAAAACCAAATTATTATACTTCACTAATTTTCTTTATTCATTCCAATTTTGTATTACAAAAATAATATTTATAGAAAGTAAGTAAAATAATATTTGCTATTCAAGTATATACTTAATTTAAATTTTTTTTAAATAATCGAAGTGGCTAGGTATAAATACATATTTTATTTAAAATTTTATTGTGAGCTTAACTATATTAAATCATTTTAGGCAAAAACAAAGCAATATTTATGCTTTTATTGCAATTACATCTTTAAAGGTCTCTAACAAACTATCTTAAACATATTAAATTTGGTTAGCTTAACAAAAATCTGTTATTTTGCTTATTATTTTACTTGATATATAAGTCATATAAGCTTGGGCTAACAGAAAAGACAGTCATTTATACAGTAAAAAATATAAATCTTATAAAAAGGTTTTTAAAAGTATTTTTGAAGAATTGTCTAGTTTTTTATTTTATTTTATTTTTTTTTTTTTTTTTTATTTTAAAGAATAAGGCCTGGCCTCGGTCTTTATTGAATAATTTATGTGTTATATTAAAATAATAAGTTATATGAATTACTACAGAGATCTACAGCTAGGACTACTTTATCTTCAGCCTAAAACTCTACTAGAGTAGGCTAACAGACCTCATCTAGATTTATAGTA